AATGTCCTGTCGACTATTTACAAATAAATAGGCATTAAAGTATTTAAATTATTTGGGTTTCTCATGTTTCTATATGTAAGCATAATGTTACTGTGTTACCAAATTCTTTCAAAATTGTGTATGGAATTATAGTTTATTATTTAATATTCGTTTAAAAACCGGGAACTTTGCCCGCTCGCAGAGTGGGCTTTCCTAATAACTTGTTTTTTTTTTTTATTAATATTTTCCTTTAATTCCATGACATAAAAATTTTAATATATCATAATAACAATATATGAGTAGATTTTGAGTTATAACATGTTATATTCATGATAATTTATTACGAATTATGATTCATGAACCTCAACTAATTATTGTTAACTTCCTATTATAGGTATTTACAGACGTAAAGTATTTGTATTGAAGATATTATTGGGGGGTGAGGGGTTGTGCTCATTCTTTAAACAATTATTTTAATCTCTGCCACATAACTCATTCCTGAACATGTCAATTTTGACTTGACCTGAGACCGACTCAAACCCAGCGATTTATTCTATAATTATAGATATTCCATACATAGATTCTACAGATCTAAGGTTAACTGCATTAATGTGTTTTCTATTTTCCGACATACGAGTATACTACTGTTTAATATAAAATCGATATAAATCATTTAATCGCTATGCTGACGATGTTGACTATTATACTATACATATTCCTTTTATTTCGGAATTTATCAAAATTGTTTAAATTATTTTTGGCGAGCAATATTTCATTCTATCTCTTATGCACCACTAAAAAATAATTATTATAAATATATAATAAATTCATTTTGACGCATTTTGATAAAGTAATAACTTTTTGAACGCTTAAATGGAATATAGGTAGGTATACAAAAAAAAAAAATATATATATATTAATTTAAGTAGGTATAATAAAACTATAAAGTTTACTGAACATAAAGTTTTTTACTCCCGCATAAATTTACGGGATTATATTATTAATATTAGGTAGGTACTAAGGTAGTTGAAAAAGTTTTCTCACATATTATAACTTTTGAAAATTTCGATCTTTTTTCTTTCTTTTTTCACGGTTAATGCGTGTTTTTTGAATAATAATAACTTTTCAAAAAGGTTTCATTATCTCGAAAGCTAACATAAAAGAAAACTAAGTATTTAACTTTTTGTGACTAACGAAAAAAAAATGTTTCACGAGATATTAGTTTCAACAAACTTATTTTACGGTTTGGTCTTAATAATGAGAGATGTTATAGTGTTCAGAAATACATAAAACACAAGTAAAACTTTAAATTTATGCAAACTATTGTATATTATAATATTTGTGTTATGTCTTTATTGCAAAAACTTTCGAAACTCAGTACATCTTTGTTTAAAACCTGCAGTATTTTAAGTGGGCCCATTACTGTCGTTAATAATTATTATTGTACCTAATGAGCAAGAACAGGTATTCTCGAATAATACATTTACGATGTGGGTACCTACTGTCATGTGAGCCCATATGATAACTTTCAGAGAAGGATCAAACTGGAACCAGGTTTCCAAACACACATTTAAATATTAATAATGTAGGTACAGATAGATATGTATAATGTGTATGGATATAAAAAACACAAAACCTGTATAGAATGTTATGACAGGTTGATGATAGGTTTACTACGGGAGGGTGAATCAATAGACGGGTTTTGGTGCCGTAAACAGTTTAGTGATTGAGTTTACGATCAGTGTCGGCCCGGTGCAGAATTTTGCTGGGCTCCGTGTATATTTATTTTATTTTCTAACGGACTTACTTTATTTTCATATAATTTTATAAACTTTAAAGTCTTATCTAAATTTGTGCCTATACATATAAACTAATAAAATCAAAGTTGTGTTTTGTAATTTTATAATTGTCTCATTGTAGCTCAAAGAATCAGCAATACTAGATGATAAAATATTTTTGAGTGTTTTCAAATTAACAACAAAGTGTTTAGCTATGTATAAATGGTACCACCTTGATTTTCGTCGATAACATCCCGTGTCCTAAGAAAACCACACGGCCTCACGAGTCACAATTTGCGTACTATTGGAAAAATATTATTATGATTGTCTATAGATAAAGTGATATTCGGAATACATAAATTACGGGGCCCGATGTGGCCGTATCGCTTGCTCCCCCCTAAGGCCGACAATGTTTACGGTAATATATTCTGGTTAGTAGATAGTTACCAAACCTCTAATACATAAATATGTAAATTATAGGTTATCAAAATAGTTGACAACACTGTCATAATCGAGAAATAAAAATATATTATTTAATTGAAAAACCGAATCATATTTTTTTCTCGTCGTGTTTTTCATAGTTATATTATTATTAGTTATCTATTACTATTATTGGATATTATAAATAACTAATCATTTCTTATAAATCAATTATAGTGGACATAGTAGAATGTGATAGATGATATTAATATCAATATCATGGTCATATGAAACCTATATTACCAGTTGTCTAAAAGGTTATGTCGAAGAGTGAATTATTTAGTAAAATGTATATGATATCTAAGTTCAGTAGGTAACTATCGTATTGCCCAAGACATTATTTACAATTTACTTGGTTTTCTTCAATAAGTTTCACCGGAACTTTGACAACGACATTTTATTGATGTAAGTTAATCAACGAGTATAGTAGGAGCGTGTAGAATCACGTGATTCACAAAGGGTAGGTCGTGGGTGCCTGGTTGTTCAGAAATACAACAAAAATTATTACGTTTTTATAAAACAATAAGCCATTAAACGAATTTTAGACTGCGGAAATTTTATAAATTGCATTAAACACTCCCAGGAAAAACTGGTTTTTTTTTTTATAGATTTTGGGGTATTTTTAGTGGTGGTGAGTAGATGGGTGGACCGAAACCCGAAAATTAAATCGGAGTATTAATTGCTTTTGTAACTACAACTGTCAAAATATAGTATATTATTTTAAACACTATAAACAATAATAATATTATGCGTAGTTTCATAGTTAATTAGATTAAACATATTATTATTATTTATCTATAATCACACGTGTTTATCTAATTAGGTAGTTCAACTAGTAACCAAACACCAGTAAACCATTATTCTAAATCGAAATGGACAGTTACAAAATTTACCGAACTGTTTTCTAGAAAGAGTAACCAGGTTACAGTATCCAACTCGCGTAAATGTTATTAGTAACCAACTTACTCACGGTTAAAATAAGCCTAATAATCATCCAGGCCGTGCATCAAAATTAAAAAAAAAAAAAAAAACTATTGTGTTTAAATATTTTTTAGAAGGGGGCTGGTTCCACTTATTTCCCCCCTGTGGGTACGGTTAATATTATATAGCGTTAGTGCAAAGTTAATTACTATAAAGTGTCATTATATTTTTTTGGGAGGTAATTTTAACGACACTTGAAAAATAAAAAATTAAAATAAATCGACTCGAACAATTTAAAATAAAAACGAAAAATTAAATATGGTTCCAGGTCCTTAAATTATTCCAACGTATTTATTTTGCTATCCTCGTGAAATTGGTTTAAAAACATAACGTTCACGCGTAGAACAGCAAAACGCGCACTTCAATAAGTGTCTTTAGAATATTGTTCTTCATTATCATAGAAATTAAAGACGGCAACATTATTTGTGTACCTACGAGTATATACGATTCAATTTATATCTAAACGATATGCGTTAGTGGTTCTCAATCGTTTTATGTTCACGGCACATTTTTCTATAACAATACATTTTGACGGAGCATTATAATAATAAGGTATGTATTACAATATTATACGCGTGTACCGTAGTCGCGGCACACTTACAGCTAGTTCGCAGCTATACTAAAACGAGTGTACCGCGGAACATCGGTTGAGAACCACTGTCTTAGATATTCGACATTAAAAAGTGGCTTTTTTTTTTTTTTACAAAGTCGTAACTTTTTCGTAGGTACATTATAATATTTAACCAAATGGATATTGTGTCGTTGGCTATAAATAAAGTCGGCTTCTTTAAATTACAATTTAGACTATTTTATACGTTGATAAAGAGATAAATAATAATAACACTAGTTTCGAGATAAAATAATTATTCGACGCGAGTTTTTCGTGTTCAAAAACGTTTGCGTTCTTACAACTTTTTAAGGGGGTTAAAAATAGTTTTTCACGTGTTCTAGAATTTTTTAAAACTGTAAACATTTGTTTTACCTTTTACGATTACTTTAATGATACGATTTTCCCATTAACCTACTGCCGATACGTATTTAAGGGCCATTTTTACCGACGAATATGATCCTTTAGACCAAAAAGCTGGAGTAAAATTCTCCCATTACCGCTCGCACAAATTTAATTTTGAAAACATATTATGTGAATTTGTTGATGGTCTGTCTACGAATTTATGTAGAGACGTTTGTTCGTTTTAATCGTTACGTTTTTTTCTGTCTGTAAACAATTTTTCGAACTAAAAATTTGTTTCGATCGAAATATAAAAAGATAAATCTGCTGTGGCATTTTGGATGTAGTTGTTGCATGGAAAAGGTAAGTTGATTTTTCAAGGGGTTTTCAAAATAATTGGGAAATACCGGAAAGAAAATTATAGGTAAAACAGTAAATATTTACGACATGCCACGGCGTTACCGCTTGTACATATCTGAACTTATCTCAGAATCGCGTGTTTTGTTAGCAATGGTTTATCGTCGTTTACAGATATAAATTAACTAACTTTATAAGTAGATATCCTAAATTGTACAGTTAATTTCGTTCAATTGAATCCGATTTTTGTTTGGTGAATGTCTTAACCTGCAACCGCACACCCTGTGTTAGCATATGGCTAGTTAGGAGGCGCGGAGGTTCAAGAGTTTCCGGAGCGGCGAGCCGGTCTGGCGTTTCCCGTGTCGTTCTAAGGACCACAAGCACCGCGGAACCCCGAAAACAACGGAGCCTCGCGTACCAATAGGTTAGGGCCAAGCGCCACCCGTTCCCCGCCGTTGGTACGGCCGCAGCCTACCTCACTGCTTTCCGTTTTTGGCCACGGGCAACCTTCGGTGTGGTGTTAGTCCGCCGATAGACTGAGTAGGCTTCAGAGAGATACCCCGGTTCGCAGCCGTGGCTGCTTGCGAGCCCGTTCGACCTAGAGCTTTCCTCGAGTCAGCATGACCCATAACCACATAGCCACTCCAGTGACAGCCACCACGATACCACCATTCCGCCGTCGGCCGGAATCCGGCCAAGACCGGAAGTCGGCCGTCGTGACGGGCCGCCACCCCAAGATGCTCGGGGCAACGTGGGCTCCCGCCATCCCGTGATACCAGCCTAAGCATTGCTGGTGGGATGCTCGACCGAGAGCATCGTCAGGTCGTAGCCCTCCGCTTGGGGAGGCGTCCCCGAGCTCTGGGTAGGCTCTTAATAATTTTGTTCAAGTACATGACGAGTTGACATGTTTTTTAAAATGAAATCATACGTAAGTTTCACAAAAAAAAAAAAAAAGAAAAAGAAAAAAAAAGAAGTGAATATCAACAAGTTTATTTTTACTCCTGCAGCTTGGCCTGAATCTATGGAAAAACGAATCGCCTTCGACCGTCTTCCGAACTTTCATAATTTAGACATTTTCAGTAACCCGCTCAGCTTTGGTGCATTTATTACGCATTTATCTATCAACAATAACAAAAAAGTATTAATATTAAACAAGCGTATTATATTCGACGTCGGTTTAATGTTTTAATTTACGAGCTGGTTGATACGTTCCTTTAATACTAGTCCTTCGGGTACCTAGTATGATAACGTCATGCATAAATACGCGCAAACTGTTACTGTGTCTTCTATAGTTGCCATTATAATATTGCGCAATTTTATTGTTTCGCGACCGTAACGAGAGCTCATTGAATTAACTTTTTACACGAAATCAAATTATAAATAGAATTATCAGAGTTAGGCCGTCGTTTCGAACAGCCGTTTAAAGTAAAATTAACACCCGTCGCTATTATATGTTTTCGACGGGAATCGATCATCGCGTGCTTATATACTTACGAAACACCCACTCGTCCGCGGCACGGTGTACATAAAACGTTTGCGAGAATGTTACGATGGCAAACTTCGACGAACAAATGTTTTGTAAACGACTTTTCTACGTATCTTCTAATCGAGTCCGCGTATTATAGTTTTTCGAGTTTACGAGAAATCCATTCAGTGAAAACTTTGGTCCATAAAAAAAAAAAAAGAAAAAAAAAAGTATAAAGAGAAAAAAAAAACAATGACGGCCCATCAAATTATATATAAAGTTAAACTCTGCAACTTTTTTCATATTTTTTCGTGTAAAAGAAAGCAAGAAAAAAAAGAAAAGAAAAAGAACAAGGAAAAAAGTTAAGTATATAATAATAATAATATATATATATATATGGAAAGAAAAGTATATACGTATTTATACTGCGCGTTACGACCGTAGCGGGCGACGTTACGACCGTAGCGGGCGANNNNGGGGGGGGGGGTGACGGCGGAGGGAAGGAAAGCAATCAAAACTTCGCCGTCATTGAGTTTCGTAGCGTCGTCGTCGTCGTCGTCGGCGGCGGCGGCGGCGGCGGCGGCGGCGGAGCAGGAGTATTACAACTATACGGCGCGCGGATATCATTACTCGCTCGGCAACTTTTCAGCGGCCACTAAAAGTCACGCACTATTTCCGAGGCGGCGGCGGTGACGGATCCACATCTATATAATGCAATATTAGTATGTGCACACCGCGCCGACAGTCGTTGTAACACATAATAATAATAATAATAATAGCAGTAATAATCGACGCGGGCGCGGTGTGCAGTAATGCCGACCGGCGGTGGGGGGGGGAGCGGGGGCGTCCGAGCGTCTGCTGCGACGGCCGCGAGGCGCGGCGGGGACGGAAATGGCCCGCGCGATGTCGTGTTGTCAAGCGTCCCGTATAAATCAAACGATAAAAACGGCGAACAACACGGACGCGCGAGCAAACAACCGGCGTTTATAGATATATTTATTATAAAGTGTATTATTATGTTGCGCGTTTGTGTGCTCGTTTATATACCATTCTTGCATGTAGATACAATATACACGTACATTATTATTATATAGTGTCTGGGCGGTGAGTAGTTCGACAAAAAGATCGCGATGTTTAAGTGTCTCGGGCGGAGAGGAAAGCGGAGGCGGCGGCGGCGGCGGCGGACGGATGCGACGGCGGGATTAGGCGCGGGGGAGGGGGAGGGCTCGGGCGGGGTAAAGAAACGCGGCAGAAATGGAACGGAGAAAATAAAAAAAAAAAAAAAGAAGGAAAAAAGAAAACGAGGAAAAAGTCGAAGTCCGCGAACGAGCCAAACTGCGGCGGGAGGCGGACGGTAGCGGTCGGACGGCGGGGCGGCACACGCGCGCGCCGCGGAATAGCGGGGGGGGCTTGTTGCTGTTTAAAGTAATTTCTTTGGGCGCGCGCGGGCAATCCGGCGGCGGGGCGGAGGGCAACGTTCGGTCTGGTCACAAAAACGGGAAATGGAAAAGATTGGATAAAGTGCAGCACTCTACCCCCTACCCCCCCTCCACGAGTCCCACCGCCCCCCCACCACCCAATAACACCGCCGCCGTCCCGCAGCACCCGCGCGGCCCGCTCGCCGCCGCGCGCACAGCGGGCGTCGTGCCGCGCGGGACGGCGGCGGCGGTGCCTGTGGACGGGTGTCCCGCGACCGGCGTGCGGGAACGACGGACGACGAGGAGGGGCGGTTCGGCGGCGTCGGGCCGCGATGGGCGGCAGAAGCGCGGACGGGCGCGATGGGGACGGGTGTACGGGAGTACCGGTGGCGGCGGCGGCGGCGGCGTGCGACAGAGATAGCGCGTGTAAAAGTTTTTCCAGTCGAAGTTTCGCAGTCGGTGTGATTATACCGTTCCGTGTTGAATGGCGGCGGCCGCCTTTTTCCCGTGCGCCGCTCTCTGCACACACACGCGCGCGCGCGCCCGTAACACTTACACGCACGTGGACACGACGCCGCCGTACGTTATTATTATTATTATTATTATTATACGAGCCGTCTCGTCGTCGTCGTTGTTTTCGGCCGTTTTTCCGACAACGACGTTCAATTGCTCTGCGGCGTCGTCGGCTTCCGTTATTTTTGCCGCCACAACTCGGTGAATTTGTTATTGTTTTTTTTTCCTTCCGTCTTCGTGCTCGCCGGGATTTTATTCGAATAATAATTTATTTTTCTATTTTTTTCATTTTGTTCGTTTCTTTGTCGCGATCTTTAAATACAATCGCCGCGATCCGTGTGCCGGCCCACCTCCGATCTCGCGCGCCCGCGGTTTTTCACGTTTCTCGCCCGCCGTAATACGTACCGTCGTCGTCGCAGTGCGTTTTCGTAATTCGACGTCCGCTGACAGTTCGCCGTAATGTGACGGCCCGGGAGTCGTTCGGTTATTTTAATTTTTCAATAAGCACAAAACGTCTGCGGAAAAACACGACTTTATTATCGATTGGGCACGAGCACAGAGAGTTTTTGTTTTCACTTCTCTCTCCGCGTTCGCGGCGCGCGCGGCGCTTCCCGCCACCGCCACTGCCGCCGTCGCCGCCGCCGCCGACGAAAACTCCGTCGTCGTCGTCGTCGTCTCCGTCGCCGTCGACGACAACTATTACACAACGGGACGACGAGTGTTTTTCCGCGATCTCTTAGCAACTCCTCCTCCGCCGCCGTGTATTCATCTTCCGCCGCGTCCGATCGCCGAAACCGTTCGCGTCCGATCCGGGTCAGATCCGCCGCGAGCCCAACCGTCACAGCGTCCGCCGCCTCCGGCACAGACCGGTCGCGCGCCGCGTTCGCATCTCGGTCGCTGACCAGCGGGCACACGGCCACTTCGTCCACGCCGCCGCTGCCGGCGCTCTCGTCACTGCCGACGCTCTCGCCGTCGCTGCCGCCGGCACAGCGGCCGCTGTCGTACACGACGACGGCACGCGGTTACACGCTCGTCCCGTCCGTTTGTGGGATTATTATTATTTTTTTTTAAACGGCCCGTTTGAAAATGTACGAACCAGGTGAGTCTATCGTTTAAACGTCGTAATCGCTTCAAACACCCACCCCGCCATACGTTACATTGTGTACGATACGTATTGTGTATTACGTTACATGTTTATTATACAACCAAAACGAGTTAAACGAGAAATTTTATTTACGTTTCTCGCAGTAACTGACTTATTTAAAATACTATTTGTTCTATTAATATTTTATTCTCGTATAAAATATTTATACCCCCCCCCAGTCCGCAATCGATGAATTTTAAATCGAATTAATCACATATTCGAGTTGTTTTACAAGTATACGAGTTTATCGACTGCGGTATTGAATTTGAATTAACAGATGAAAACATCAATCTGTTGACCGCATTAAGATTTCAATGTTTTATTAACGATAAACCTAATAAATCAGGCACGAGCGGTTGATTTAATTATATTACGAATTCGTACGAATTTTATTAAGAACAGGCGACATTACTACTTTTTTAAGATATCTATGATGAATTGTGCATAGGCAATTTTAACGAAACGTTCGAATTCAAAATTGATCGACTCGCGTTAATATAAATTTTAAAAAAAATCGACCCCCCCCTCCCCCGATAAAATTCCACTAGAGAAATTATATCCATTAATATTTTACTGAGAGGGTAAAGTTAAATTCTTAAATTTAATCCTCCCCTCCCAGGTCAACTATTACGTGGATCAATAAACACTGAAAATTTATCCAAAAACGTGTTCTCATAAAACAGTAAAAGTATCGTTTAAGGGGATCGGAAGCAGTCTATATTTTATACACGTGCAACATAGAAATAACTAGACGTTATATTTCCAACGTACCGATTGGTCCAGTGAAGCGATAATAATTCTGAAAACAAATTTCAATTTGACGTTAAGTCTACTTTTCTATATTTTTGATTTCATCACACTAAATTCTAAAAAAAAAAAAAAAAAAAAACCATAGTAAATAAAGGAGTAATTAAATGCTACAACAAAGACAGAAAATCACCGCTTTCAATCCCCTTAACGTAATTGTATAGAACTTTTAGTCGTCGCTGTGAAAATTAAAGACAATAACATTATCTAGTTTATTACGTATTGATTTTAAATTTACTTTAGACGGTAAATATATTAAAGATTGAAAAGTGGCCTGTTTAAAAAAAACGTTTGAAAGAACACCAAATTAATATTATCATAATTTCGAATACAATAAAACAATATGTTCCAAAATGTATCAAATTAATTTTCAGTGATGGTTATAATGTATTACAATTGTTACACCTACTTAGTTGATACAAAAAGAAAAAAAAAAATGTGTTGATTATAATTTATTCGATTCGTTATATTAATACATTTACTGACGTATATATTCACGTAACGCTGGCGATATTTTAATTGATTCTGTTGAGAGCAAAGAAGTTATTGTACAATAGTTTTATAACGATGATGTGTTTTGTCTCTAAAACAATTTCAGAACAATACAATTGATCAAAAAGTTTTATCCGGGAACTTTTTAGAGGGGAGGGGTAATTTAATTTGTTCGGACTTATACGTCGTACCTTTGAGAAGTGTAATATACTTATTTTTTTTTTTTTTTAAATTCGCAGTTCAATGCCCTAAACGCATTTGCGGAATACTGCAGAAGAAATCATCGCGAGAATATAAAAACAAAATTGTAATATCTATCTAAGCTCTATAAATATAATATGTTTTACGATCGTTTTTTTTTTTCAAAAGCTGCAATAATTTATCGATGCTTCCCATATATATTGAAAAAAATTAATTCGTAATTTACGATGATTCAATCGATTTACCACACCAATTTGTTGAACTATCAATTAATATGGCCAGGGTTAAATACACGCGTCTCGTCCAGTTCAATCGATTCTACACGTTAAAACTAAAAAGTATCGGTTCTATAATGAAACGTAATATCATGCTATTCGATAATATACTATATTACGTATGTTAATTATATAGAGTTGTAGTAGGTACGCATTATGCAGTTATAGGCACAGAGGTGAGAAGTTGCATTTGAAAAACGCATCATAATATGCTAATTCTAGAGTTCAAAACGTTTATTTGTTTTTCGACTCCCTCCTCCCTTCCTTTGAAATTTTCATCTGCGTATGCGCCCTGTTGTACCCATAATAATATTATATGTCGGGTACAAAATTATTGTTACACATTACCTGTGGATTATTTAAATTTAACCGAGTTTACTGTCCCGCTTGGTTAAAGGAAAACATAAAAACTATTGAGGCATCCACAGCAAATACGAATATACCTGAGCCAATTTCATACAGGGTTTTTTTAAAACGCATAATGCATACTGTAAAAAAACAATTTACATGATTTTTATATAACATATACATACAGTTCGAAGAGTTTATTATTGATCTAAATTCAATATAAGTACAATAAATCGTCCCAGTCAAAAACGCATGATACCCGTATAAAAAGGTTTTTTAGGGAACTGTACAATTACTGTAATGCATTGAAATATCGCGTCTACAATTATTTTACAGTTGGTGCCGTATAAACCTATTGCATTTTGTATGTACCTATAGGCATCTAAATATTTTATACGATATTGTATTCAATTGTTTATTTTAACAATATAATCACAGTCCTAAACCCAATAAAATATATTTATTATAATTCGTAGAAAGGTATATTTTGTTTACTCGCATATATTTAAACAAATACCATTATAAACCTCATATTTGAACCAAACACTCAACAGGTGTTACCGGTGTTGGTCCATGTGGGCGAATATCATTGTAATTCGCTTCTGCGTGTTGTGAAAATTATCGAGGTTCATTTTGATTACCTACCACGCAGTATCGTAATTTGCATTGTTTTTAATTTATCGCATTTTCAATTTAAACACTTGAACGCCATCATAATAATATCATATACTCGTGTTTAAAAATACATCTTAGGATAATGGAGCCGGGTGCAGCCACTGTTATAAGTAATTTAATGTATACCTGTAAGCAACGATAAATCTTTGCTTAAGAAAAAACGATTCTGAGTGGATTTCAGTTGATAGTGATGCTTTGTTTACAATATATATGCCATATTATGGTAAAACAATTAAATAAGCATTATATATTTCCTTTAATAATATTTGTTTAATGCACCGATTTTCCCGTATTTTCTACGTTTTTTCTGGTTTTCCCATGATTTTTCCTGGTTTTTCACATTTTCTGGAAAAACACTTCAGAAAATCTAAAAAATTACCTCTCTAAAGTACCTCCCTAGTCAAATTTACTTTCAGAAATGTTGCTATAATTATAAATTGGAGCAAGACTGGCAACTGGTAGAAAAGTAGTAAAAAAAAAAAAAATAATAATAAACATCTTTGTAAAACCATAAACTTCTTCACTCCACTTAGGATCTAAAATCAAACATTTTAAATAGGAATTGAATGTGTGAATGGAGTGGATATTTAACTCGTAGATTATACAGACCGTGTTTATAGGAGTAGGTTCTTACTTAGGTGAAGTTTATGATGCGATATAGACTTAGAGGCGGATTGGATTAACAAGAGGGGGGGGGGGTTGGGTCCAGGGAGTCTGGACCTTTCGGATACCGAAATAATTTCAGTAAAATGTCGTCTAAAAACGAAACATTTAGGTACCTGTTTTCAAATACATCATATGATTTTTAGGACCTCTATAAGAAAAATGTTAAAAATCCACTGCTAGATACCCCGAAGCTTGATATTATATAGGTATTATCTTGGATGCTAAGACTTTTGGGTTAATTACATAGGTTTATGCAGCATTCGTAAAATGTACAAGGTAAGCGAGTAAATATACATATATACACATAGTAGTAGACAGTTGCCTTATATTTAGAGCTTAATGTAAAACATCGAATAAGTACGGGGCTTTTCAAATTTGATTTTGAAATACAAAGTAAAGATGAAATATTCGAAATTGTGTAAATCTCTCATATTACGCTGTTCGTCGTTGCTTTCGAGTTTGCGTGGAATAACGAGAGCGCGAGTTTTAAAACAAATAGGTCAGTTGTCGTCGGAAACATAAAACGTAAAACGGTATTGCCGAAATTTAACGGTTCCGCAATCAATTCGTGTGCGACTGTGTGTTTTCTAATTTCTAATTGATTTAAAAATTCGAGTTTTCGATGTGTAATGACAATATATTATAGGTATGAACACTTGTTGTGTACTTGTTGTATAGATAACTGAAATAATTGCCTGATGTCGTTTAGCCAGCGTGCACGTTAATTCGATTGCCATCTGCGTATTACACCCGAAGTTCGATAAACCTACACAATGTAATATTACAGGTACACAATATTGCACGGAGTTAAACCGAAAGGTATCGAATGAAAGTCAGTGACCTCGAGTCAATAACGATCAGAGATGGTAGGTGGGTAGGTAGGGACAGAGGTGATGTTAAGCGTAGTGTTGCGCGTATCAAGATTGCAGTTCGTTTCATTATCGGCTATTATTTTGACGGGACAGA